TTATCGATCAACCTATCTGGACACTTCTTACAATTATTTGTCAAATGATTGCCCAATGTGCTAGTACCACACTTCTTAGTGCCACAAGCATAATATACTCCGCAATAGTTACATTGACACCTAACATCTGAATCATCCCCTGTGCCCAATATTGTAAAGTAATCCTAAACATATAATGCTAATATATTAGATTTCCGCTTACCTAATGTTGATGGTGCACGTGGAGGAAGACCCGCTTGCAAATTTGGTCATTTGATGGAGTTTATGTGCCATGTACTTCACGTTCATTCATATCTATCAACATATTCCAGTAAAATTATAAACACACCAAATAGATATATTCAATTAAAAGTACTAATGCAATAAAAGAAAGCAATAATACTGCACCTATGGCTGTGTCAATTTCCTTGAGTAATATTCCAATTTCCAAAGATCAAATAGCAACAATATATGCTTCGGCAATCTGGGTTTCATCATGAATCAAAAAATCAAAACCAATAAACAAATAGAAAAACCAAAAAGAAGAAGAAGATATGGAAACAATTGGAATGGCTCCTCATGCTTTTGCTTTTTATGCCTTCACTGATGGATTTCGTCAATTTTCATTTCAGAATTAAAAAAGACAATTTCAAACAATAAAATAAAAATGAAGGCACATGTTGCTTGAAATACAAATCCTCTATTATCAAGAAAATCAATTTAGACAATGAAATGCTTGAATCTACAAATCTAGATTAGTGATTAGAGACTTGGTAAAGAAAATAGAAAATACACTTTCACCGCGTACAATAGAATCAGATTTGAAGGACGATTCAGTGGTGACTTATTATGTAATATCGACGATCGGCGTCGACAAGTGAAAACTTAAATGCAAAGATCGGAGTTGGCAAGTTAGAAGAAAGATCAACGGTGGCAACGATTTGAGGTCTAGATCTCGAGAGCAAGAGAGAAATGAAAATTTGGGTTGCAGGCTTGTTGACCATTGAGTTGCTTTGTATAAATCTAGGTTTAAATTGAAATATTATTTTCTAAAAAATGGGCGGGTTGGGTTGGGTGTGTTATATCGGGTTTGATGGGTTAACCCATCACCCGACCCGCTTAGCTTACCCACAATCCGAACCCATAGAAAAAATCACAAAAAAATCGACCCAACCTACTCGGGTTGAGTTCGACGGATTCGGTTGGGTTTTGCCCACCCTTACTTGGATGGCAAAAACAACCCGAGCCTTTTAATAATTTGTGTAGTGGCGTCTAAAAATTCCCGAAAGTGTAGCCTAAAGGCATTTTCAGGGTCCTAAATAATAAGCAGCTTCAAAAGAAAGGATTAAGGCTCCCTCATTTGAAAGGAGACACAAGAAATCTTCATTTCTTTACATTTTGTTAACTCACCTTATTTAAAAGTTAGAAGATTAAAGAGAGAATAAAATTGTCACATATGTATCTTCAATAAGTCTTGTCAGTGTTTGGGAACCCCGGATGTTAACATCATAAAAATCGATTTTTTATGATAATAAACATCCCATAACAATGAATTTGATTACTTCGTGTACTAACTAGAATGAAACGATTTTGTTAAAAAAAATGTAAATAAATAGGTGTTTATGGATTACATTTGTAGCATGCTTTATAATAAATCCTACTGTGCTCTTCCTTTTGGTTTCATTTTCAAACTCTCGAGTCTTCTCGGATATTCTTTGAGAATTCATCGGAATTTTAGAGTTTAAGGTGTACCTACTTCAAGTATTATAGTTTACTAAGAGGTTTAGGGGCAATGCTCTCATTACAAGTGAATTCCATGTCAAAAAGGCATTTGACCTCTCTTGGAATTTTTCATAGCAAATATTTCCATTATTTTGTTTATGTATGAAGCTTGAGAGAGAGCATCTAGAAAGATCTAAATTCCTAGAACATAATTGGCAACACTCGAGTCCTTCATGTCAAATTGTTGTACCAACCAATTTTTAACTAATGCCAATGCTCCCGCACCATTCCCGATGAGCAAGATGTCATCAATATACGACATGAGAAAAATTATCCCATTGTCTTTAATGCGCTTATATACAAGGTTCATTAAGATTCTAATCAAAATAAAAAATAATATATATGCTTAAAAGTTTACGTGGATATATAAAAACTCAAAAATTAACATGTACATACATAAAAACATTATGTTGCCCTTTTTTCTTGCTTCCTAATTCGACATTAGGTTTTCAATTGTGTGATCCCGAGATTATTCGACAGTTAAAATTACAATTTCGGTGTCATTTTATATTAAGGATCTTGAAGAGCTACAAGGTATGAACAACAAATGTCGAATCAATTAACAAATTGAATGCTATCAATTTTGTTAATGTTGCTTGAAACATTGATACGATGACAAGAACTATTGCAAACTCTTTTTGGCATTTCTATATTGCTTCTTAGCTGAAGTCGGCAAAGATAAATGCAGATTATGATTTAGATGATTGTTGTTTTTTACCAATTGTTTTTATTAGGACCCACGGTTCCAAACTTTTTAACTTATTTTATTTAAAAAATTATAAAGTGATTATTTTGCCTCTTTGAAATTGTTAAAAATATGGTCACATTTAATTCTTTATTCAACTACCGAAAAAATGGATAGTTTCCATCAATCGTCCTCCTTCTGTCGGTGATAGAATGAAAGATTTGGAATCATGTGTTCAATAAATGACACGCTAGAATAAAAGTTGTAAAGATTTGAGATAGTTGCTGCAATTATCCCTTTTTATTAGATTTTGTAAATTCATCAGAATACATTTATCAATATAACGTGCCACAGGATATTCAATGGTAAATTTCCGAAAAAAAATCTCAGTCTGAGTCTCAATTTCGTACGGTTACGGTAGACATTTTCATCTCCCAATTCAACAGAGAGTCCACTTAACTAATCAAGATCTGACATTAATAGCTAGGTTGGGAGGTTTGTTCTGATAGCTGAATCTAATTGTTAACCTCCTCTGTATTATTGTATTCCTATACAAAAATAGCTGGCAAACAATCAATTTCCCCAACGAATTTTGCAGCCGCCTAACTTTCTCGAGGTAAATTGAAATCCTTTATTGGAAGATTTCATATTTATAGTACTGCTTGTTTGGAAAACGTGAGTTAGCTCTAATTCTTGTCCTCTTGGATTTATTTACCCTCAATCTTGTTCGTAATACATATAATATGTCTGCGTGTTTGAAAGATTCGAGGATGGATATCAACCTATAAAAAACCCATTACCCATCCACCCGACCAGTGAAGAGTTCACCATTTGTCTGCTAAATCTTGAGGATTTTGAGCATCTCTGGAAAGACCCATTCGTTCTTGAAATATAGAGGAGAGTTTTGTTTTAAAAGGTACAATTTTTATTTGATTTTTAATTTGAATTCTCAGTTTGGGCCTGAATTTCACGACATTAAATTTCTGAGTGTAATATGAATCTGTACCTTTCACTTTGACGTGTTTGTGTTTTTACAATGTTAGGAACTTCAAATGTGTGCTTGGCAGCCAAGAACTAAGATGAATTTATGGATACTGTGAATATTACTGTTGTTATAAAAATAATTAATATTCAATAAGTTAATCATCTTTAATAATTAATATTCGATGTGTAGTTTTAGCCTTTCAGGTTTTGGCTAAAGTTTTATATACATTTCAATTTCACAGGAGTCTCAATTATTTAGTTAATGCTTACTGGAGGATGAAATTCTTATTGTAGTTAGTTTTGCTTGGTTATGAAGATTAGTCATTGGTGTATTGAAAAGTTAGCTGAATGTGAAATTGAGATGGAGACTTCTATTGAATTTTTTTAGTTTAGTGTTTATTTAATTGCTGTTTAAACTGTGAAGCAGCATTTCTCTTTCATTATTGTTTGTGCTTTCAAGTTTCAGTATGCAATTGAGCTTGATGATTAGGCTTTCTCCTTTCGTCACTCATTACCAGTCTCGACATTCTTCAGTTTTTTTTTCTTCATTCTTCACTCTAAAAAGTTTGGCATCCTCTGAATTTGTTTTTATTTTGACAGACTGTTTATCGCTCCATTTGTTCAGTAACTTCTGCTTTTAACACTTAAGAATCGGAGAAGAAAGTTCACGTGGTTAATCATTAATGAGATTGCTTTTAGTTTTTCTTTTTTTCCCTCTTGAAATTGCTTCTAAGTTTCTTGCTGGTTAATGTATCATTTTAATGTCTCAAAAGAGGTCAACTATTCACAGGTTACTTGTTTATAAATATTTCCAAAATTACATTTTGTTTGCCGTTTTATTGTTGGGTTTTGACTTTTGAGTTGATACATTTAGTTCCATAAAATCCTAATGAATTGAATGCATGCTAAGATTTTAGGGCCCAGTTTTTTAAATTTGCCTCATTTGAAAATCTCAGATCCGGCCCTGGTCATGCTATACAATTGAAAATGGATTAGTTATGTGGTTAAAAAACATTCATGTACTAGAATTTTCTCCATGTCCCGTTTGTTCTTTTCTTTTTTGGAGGGAGGTTGGGGATATTTGAAGTCAATGGTTGTTTCTGCAATTATTCGTGAAAAATGAGTAACAAATGATTTCGGATTTCTTTGTCGGGAATGAGAAGATCTGAGGAGTGCTGGCTCAGCATATTAATTGCTGCACAACCTACTTATTGGCATTTATATGAAAGCTCAATCACTGCAGTTGAGCTTTTATGTCTGTTATTTAGAAACCTGAATTATTCACATGATTTTTGTTGTACTCAAATATCTTCTATGTTTGGTTAAATGATGGAGAAAATCCAATGATGGCATCTGTGGCTGTTTGTTAATTTTTTATCTTTCAATTGACTGTTTGACGAGATGCACTGCATTGAATTGAGAGAAGGTTCTTATTATGTCAAAATTTAGTGTTGTTGATTTTTTTTTGTTTTTACTAAACTGAAGATCGATCACTGTTAAAAAACTTCAGCCTTCCTTTTATCATCTATAATTTGGAGTTCTGGCTGTTGCATACTAGCAAGTATATCCAATGGATGAAATTAAGGATTCAGAATACTTCCAAGAAACGCCATATACAGAAATCAAGTCCTTCTTCGATTCATCTCCTCCTCTGAAGGATGTTTTTGAAATCAACAGAAAATTAGAAGAATTTATGGAAAGGAATTATTCATCATCAGGCAAGCATTCTTGTTTAATTACCCCAGGGTGCATATTTTTTTCATCATGCAGTTCTACTTCATTAGTTCTATATTGCATAGATGTAATGAGTTAACATGTACTTCAGAGAACAAAAGAACTAGAAGGGTGGTTTGCATTACATCTGGGGGTACAACTGTTCCTTTGGAGCAACGATGTGTTCGTTACATTGACAACTTCAGCTCAGGTCATAGAGGAGCTGCATCCACTGAGTAAACATCATACTATGTCTCGTTTGGGTTGGACAGTTTCACAATTTAATTATATTTTTGACACGTTGAAATTATATAATGAAACTACAGATACTTTTTGAAGGCTGGATATTCTGTAATATTTCTCTATCGGAGGTAAGCACTTCAGCAATTACATAAGCTTATTTTAAGTTTAATGAACAATTCATTTGTTCATGAAGATATATCCTATGATTTTGTTGGCATCATTAACAGTTAAGGAATGAATATGCAGGGGAACCTGCCAGCCATATTGTAGGTCGCTTCCGGATGATCCATTGCTTGAATGTTTTGAAATTACTGATAAATCAAATATTGGAGGTTAGAAGTTACTTTATCTTTCATCCAACCTATTACTGACCATTGAGAAAGTAATTTGATTAATTACTAACAATGCAAAAGCATCCTAGACTAAAAACATTGCTTAAGAAGGTTATGACTGTTTTGCATTCTGTGCAACAGTTGTTTTGGAACATATCTTTAATCATTCATGGAATATCATCCAAAATAAACTTCATACTAATTAAATTTTTATTTCATGTTATTTCAACCAGTTGCTCGGCATTGCATTAGATAAAGCATTCTTTTGGTTTCTTGCTTGATTGCCACACCTATTTAATGTTTCAGTGAATCCGGCACACTCTGAAGCGGTGAAGAAAGCAGTCAGTGAACATCATTCTGTATGGATCTTTGCAGTTAATTCACAATTTAGCCCCTGTTTGACAACCATTATTTTAAAACTTTTTAATTTTCATACTCATTTTCAACTACACATTTACATAATAAAATATTTTGCACGTAAATCCAAAATTTTTTCTTACTTTTTAACCACACATTCTCCAAAAAGTCACTATTCAAAACTCCATTTTCTCAAAATAATGGCCTTCAAACAGAGGCTTAATCATTTTGTAATACTTATGTGATTAACATTCAGACTGATCAATTTTACCGCAGGCAGTTATCGAAGGCAGTTTGTTGAAACTTCCCTTTACAACAATTTTCGAGTATCTTCAGGTTGTCTTTCTTATTTTTTCCCTAAGATTTAAACACGTGCTGTTTTACTGTTTGAGAAATTATTAATTTTCCCTTGGGCAAATTGGTCCTAGTGTTTACGTGAATCATAAAATCTACTATTTCTGATTTTTTACTCTGCAATTTATTAAATTTTCAATGGTATGCTTTCAATGAATAAGTTTGTTAAGCTTGTACGAGTGAAGTTAATCATCCAAGAAACCTAGGCAGAGATTTTGCTGATGTATGTAGAATTACTTTTCTTCTCCTCTAAGAAGAAAAGTGATGCGGACATCATTGGATCCTCGGGATTTATTTCATTGTCATCAGGATTTACTTTTATTGTTATTGGACCTTATTTATTTATGTTTTCTAATTTTATTGTTATTGGGCTTATATTAGTGGGTTAGCCCAAACCCGTCTATTACCTAGGTTTTTGCTATTTAAATAGTTTTACATTACAGTTTAGACAGTTGAATGATTAAAATTGAGATTGGCCGTTGCCACGTTTTTCCTCCTTCCTCACGTCTCTTTCTTCCATGCTTCTCCCTTTCTTCTTCTTCTTGCTTCTTTCTTCTCTGTTTTATGCTTTAATCCCGTCGTTTGATAATAGTTCTCTATTGGTACTACATCAAAAAGAGTGATTATTTTTATCATATTACTACTCATACTCCCATTTGGATTCCAGGTATTACTATGCAAAACACTGTTGGTTAATGGTTTGTATTCAAACTTCACATCCCCTTCTATGACCATTTTTCTAGGGAAGGAATGTTTATATTACTTAAAGATAATACCTTATAACATGAACTTAATGGATCTGGTAATCACTCTTTTCTTCTTAGAGGTCACATCTTTTCTATTTTCAAGAGGTTTTTATAATGCTCGTTAAATATTTTCTTTCTTGGGAAAAGTAAAGAATGTTTTGGGTGGCTTTCACGTAATTAGTTTAGGTTGCATGTTAAGTTTGCTGCTCTCCATCTCTGCATGCACCTTTTCTGTTCATTTGATTCTCATTGCTTCATTTACTGAAGACTCTTATGTATGGACAGATTTTACAGTTGATTGCACTATCAATGAGGAGTCTCGGATCAAGTGCTATGTTCTATCTTGCAGCTGCAGTTTCTGACTTTTATGTTCCATGGGAGACCATGGTAATAATCAACTCTACTGAAGATGTCTTTTTATTTTGTTTTGTTATTATGTGCATCTTTGTGATGGGTAAATCTCCCCGAAACATTTGCCCAAAGTCAAATCGAAGGCCTGGCATTTAATTGTGTTGTAAAGGGCTTTATTTAGTGAAGCAGACAAGTAATGTGTTTCACTTAATTTATAATATCTTGGATCGTGTTTAAAACTTATGTTGAGAGTCAGACTAGTGCTTCTGGCAGTTAAAGGCTTAAAGCAGTCCATAATTTTCCTTTTCTTAAAGGGTTTGATGGGCCTAATTTCTCTTTCACATCACATATTTCTGATTATAGAAATGAACGTCCTTTGTGATGGATGTCTATTGGTATGAAGATGAGTAACTATGAAATGTTACTGTTTTGATTTTATTAATTTACATTCTGGATGATACTTGTCCTGTTGCTTGGAAACAGATGCATTTTCCTTGGCCATATTGTCTTTGCTTCTGTAAGCATCATTCAGTGATTATTGAACTTATGAAATCTATTTCCACTGTATTTCTTTTACCAGATCATGGAAAGCAGCCAACCAAAAACCTTCTTTGCTTATACTTGTTCTTGTTATTGCATACGTCCCCCACCCTCTCCCTCCCCAAAGAACATAAACTTGTTGGAGGTGGACTTTCGTATGAGGTCTGGGAAATATGAGCTTGAAATGACTGTCAAACTTGTAATGAATTGGTGATCTTAAATTCTTGAAGTCATAGACCCTGTTGTTCGCCCCATTATACGGTTTTAATATAATAACTATTCTGGAAAACTGATCCTAATTCGAGATCATGGTCATTTTGGGGTGAGGTAATCTGATCTCTTGTGTGTCTTAAGCTATTTTTAACTTCAATATTGGCTGAGTTTATAGACGGTGCATAAAATTCAGTCCCAGTCTGGTCCTCTGGACATGCGGCTTGCTCAAGTCCCTAAGATGCTCTCAGTGCTGAGGAAAGATTGGGCACCAATGGCCTTCTGCATATCATTCAAGGTTAGATATCTGCCACTAGTGTTCCCAATTTGATTTGAATTTAAGTATGTATATGGTATGTGATAAAAACAATTAGGGAGAACTGGGGGTCATGGACGCCAAAGTTCCTAAAGTTACTGTTATGGATTTATTTTTACACGAGAGATTTGAACTTGTACATCTATATGTTCGCAATGTACGTGTGACATACATGTTAAATGTGGTTCATATGTTTCTATATGTGCACTTTTGCTTAGTCCATTAGTCCATAAATAAACAAAAATTTACCTCGCGGACTTCTGAGTCCCTTCCCCCTCCATTTCTCACAAATAAAATATTTCTAGGCCATACTTATAAAACGAGGCAGACATGAGGAGAACTGCCGTCTATCCTCTCTTGGAAGCAATTTCTATAATATTAGTTAAAGATTTTTATATCTCTACGTTTTTGTAATCATATGCAGGACTATTAATTATTCAGTCTTGTGTATGCTTTATCTCTGTCTGACTTGACAGCTGGAGACGGACACAAAGATTCTTCTGGAGAAGGCTGATATAGCCCTTGCAAAGTATAAAATGCATATGGTCGTGGCCAACGAGCTTTTAACCCGTAAAGAGGAAGTTATAGTTGTCTCTAAGAGTGGAAATATCACAGTCCACCGAGACAAGAATCAACCTGGTGCCGATGTAGAGAGCCCATTGATCAAACTTATCGTGGAACGACATTCTGAATATATAAAAGACTCGGGTTCATGATTTCATGCCAAACATTTGATGGGTGGCAAAAATTGCAGCCCTCTATCCAGACTGATATCTGGATTCGAGCAAAATATGTTGGTTTCACATAGTTCTTAGCCTTGGTTGGATTAGTTAATGGAAATATAGCAAAACACTTGGACAATAAATGTTGATTTTAAAATTTCTTCAAGAAAAATCCGTGCTTTTAGTTCATGTTTCATTTGGTTATTGTTCTATAATCAATGCAGTTAATAAAGGAAGTTTTTCTCACTGATCTTAGAGGATATATTTCTTCCTTGATGAATTTATCTGTTACAATTCTCAGACATTTTCTCTTCATTCTTTTTCATTACTGTTCAAGTGCAATTAGCATATTGATAGTTGAAAGATGTTTCATTAGTTGGTTGAAGCTTTAGACCAATCATAAATGTGTGGAGAAAAGGCATTGATTTTTTTAGTATTAGTTTTGTATCTTACAAGGCATGTCTGATATAAGATAGGCTATGTAACAAAACAAGCTCGATAGCACACATCTATTTTCATCCAATAACTTTGTTGTTGTTTCGTTTGGGGTACTAAGGGGCCGTTTGGAAGGTTTCTGTTTTTACTTCTGCTTCTTGTAAAAAGAGCTAGCTTGCTACCGAAATCTACTTCCCAAAGCAAGCAATATCGTCATTTAACCCTCCAACGTGTGTGTCAACTTCAGGCCCGGAGCTCTTTCGCGACTCTTTCCCTTTTCGCGGGCTTTCTTGTGGCATTTCATTTTTTAGCTAAAACATATTTTTTTAAAAAATATTCAAATAAGTTCAAAAATAATTTTTTATTCTTCGAAGGAACTTTTGACTTCAATTTGAATAATTGACATAACTACATTAAATGCAAGAGCATCCATCCATTTTACATATACTCCAAAAAGGAGAGAGAGAGAGAGGGGCAAATTACCATACAATATATTCTTAATTTGTCCTCCATAAACAAACTTACCCGCAAGAATTTCAAATTAAAAAAATGAAAAAATAAATCATGCAGCTAATTGAATATCACCAATCTCCAACTGAGCAGCAATTTCTTCAAGTTGCTTCTTCACACTCATGTCAATCAATTTTGACCCAGAACTTCCATACCTTATAGTGAATCCAGCTACTAGTGAAGGGTCAATAACAGTTTTGATTCTCACATTCTCTGCGCCAGTCAATTTCTGAACTTCTTTCGCGATCTGGGTCAAATGCTGGGTCTCCAATTTCACAACTGAAGTGACAATTGCGAGTTCAGTGTTCGTAAATTTGTTGTAAACAATTTCGAATTCTTCCAAAATGTCCTTAATCAAATCAATTCTCTTCATGTCTACGAGAATGTATAGGAAGTTGACGACATGGGGCTGCAGGCTTGAAGATTTGGCAATTTCGTCGACTATTTCAATCTTCTTTTCTTCGTCTATGGTGGGGTTTGTGAAGAAATATAGGACGCCTGGGTCGGATAAGAATTTCTCGATTTTTTCGATGTCAGCAGAGGTTTGCTCGAGGGTGTTGTTGGACTTCGCAACATCAGCTAGGGCAGTGGCGTAGCTTCCGGCGGCAGAGTCAGCCATTCTGGCTCCAGATGCACCACCTCCGCCGCGGTTGCGGCGGATGAGGGGCTTGATCGTGAGTTTTGGGAGCTTGAGGCCGGTGGAGAGGGACAATTTGACAGTGTGTCTGGAATGGATTTGGGAGGAGGGCGATGACCGGGACTGGAAAGTGATAGGGGTTTGTTGCAGGGCGGCCGCGGCCATTGCTAACGACGGTGGAGGATAGAGAAAGGGAGGGAATTTGGAATTTGTGGAATGGCAGGGAGGTTTTTGATAGGTATTGACGGTGCTTACTGAAGGGAATCAGAAGATAAACGGTGAAGATTGAATTGATTATCCTGTGAAGGATGGCGTCTTATCTGGAGCGGACAATAAACTGACACGTGTCTACTTCAAATTGAAGGATCAATATTTGTGGCGTTGAGCATGAAATTTGTACGAATGAAAAATAAATTCTAGATAATTCAATTGTCAATAACTTATTTGTATGAAAATTATTAATTAAATGTGTTTGATTTATTTAATTTTCGACCTAAGAAATATTATGTATGTCCATTTTTTAGACGAGAGAGGAGATAAATAAGAGAGTGAATTCTGATCCCCTCAAAAGGCTCCCGGCACAGACCCAACCGTGCTCACAACAATAAGAATAAGAAGAATAGAGACTTCATAGGAGACCATTTGAGCTGCAGATGGAAACAGTGCACTCCCAAGAATAAATACTTTTGCACAGCTGCTACAAAGCATGTGAAGTTTGCTAGTTGGCCAACAATTCATTTTATATAGAAGATAGCACAATCTACTCGTAATCCAAACCAGGGAGAAGAAAAAAAATTAACTATAAAAAATAGTTCTGGATGAAAAGCGAATTTCATTATTCACGGATGGAATTGAGAGTTGTCTGTAAATGATTGTGCACGAGAACTGAGATTTGTCCTTTGTGATGTGAACAAATTCGGGTATGAGAAAAATGTTTCATCGTCCATAAAAGGCAATCTCTGAGGTTGGTAAGGACTAGTGTACTGATTGATAACCGTGTCATCATATGCAGGAAGCACGGCTGCCTGATTCCCCAAGTAGTTTCCACAAACCCCTTTTGGGCTTGGAGTTGGAGAACCCGAGATGGCCCTTTCCATGGCGTCTGACTTAGGTTTGTCCTTGTGGAAAGGATTCTCAAGACAAGCATCTGATGACTGGTTGCTTGTTTTCTTGGCAAGTTCACTTATCCTGAGCTGAGCCAGGGTAGCTGCTGAACGAGCAGCTGCAGCTGCCCGGTCAGCTGTTTCCGTAGCAGCCTGAGCAGCAAGCAGAATGTCTTGTAGATCTACAATCGTCTCACCTTTAGGTTTCAAGACAGGGGAAGGGGGATGATCGTGTTGTTCGGCCGAAAATGATGCAGAAGATTGTGGTGGAGGAGATATGAAGGGCACACACTGTTTGTCTTCCATTGATTCACAAGCTTTAGCAACTGATTTCTGTGGAACCGGTTTTCTTGGTACCAAATGGGACAAATTTTCATTACTTGCAGGAGTTGGTTCTTCTCGACCTGCCTCAGATGCTTCAGAGGTAGGAAAAGGAACCACTTCTGGAGCTGAACCGGTGCCTTGATTTGAATGTAATGGCTGCTTAGGAACTTCTGGAAGATCAGATATCTCAAAATCTGCATCAGAATCAACGCCTTCACTGGCGGCTTGCTCAGGAACAGAAGTTTCATCATGTTTCTCTTTAGGAAAGGGTGCCCCGGAGCCACTGATGAATCGTGTTGACCCACTCTGGAAAAGAAGGGGGAGTTATTAGACTAGAGAATAGAAATGAAATTAATCCAATCAGTAGTAATCCTTACCAGTAAGTCTCCATGTGGCTTCAACAATTCACTTTCAGAGGCATTTGGATCCCAGTCTAGCCTGTGCTCTTCAGCGATTTCCTTTAGCAGCTTCAGTTTTATATCGGGAGCAGGAGCTCGAACAGATAACAATTCCACCAACTGCCAGTTCAGTTTCAAAATTAAATGTCAAAAGAAACCAAAAGAGAAATAAACATAAGCCACTAAACCTTCCAAATTATAAGGCCAATTAGTGTAACCTGCCGATTGACACCACATTCTGGCATAAGCTCGGTTGCAGCAGACACGAATTCTTTCCCATACTTGCCAGCAAACAACATTTGAACCTGCAACAACTCTGGCAGATCGACGCACCTCAGTGATGCAAAGCATACGCTGGAAATTGCTTCTTTCAAGTCCAGAGGACATTCCCTGAACATAGTTTGGAATGAACAAGTTTAATTCATAAGAAAAAACATATAGCAGAAGAGTGGCCGTGGCTGCATTCTTATTTGTATAGAGCATATAAGAAATAATCTTCTTTCTTAGGGTGACGAGTACATAACACCATGAATGTCTCAAAATATATTAGATCTTCAAGACTTGTATAACTTAGCTAACAGCCAGGCACACTAGTTCAAATGTATCAAAATATATTTTCGAAAACGACGTTGAAAGCTAATTAAAACATAATACATATATAAAACTATTAAAAGAATAGCTAAGCACTTTCACATAATCTGAAGAACTAAGCCTCTAGATAACTAACTATATACCAATGATTCCTGGGCAATAAATTAACAAAATAGAGAGCAAACGTGTCCCATCAAAATCTTTTCAAATTAATAAAATTCTTCCACAATTACATAATTTGGATACTTGCCCGACACAAAAGAAAAAAGATGAAATCATTATTAAGTACATAAAATCATTCAATTATTAAGAGAATTAATCAAGGATATACCGATAAAACTCAGAAACGCGAGGTTGAATATCCAAATTTTTTTTAGTTTTGTATAGTTGGACGCCGACACATAGCCAACATGATACCTAACACGTGTCGAAAACGCCATGTGTCGATCCAAATTATTTTTTTGGTTTATGCAGTTTGACATGTCGACACGTGGAAGATACATTGTCGACATGCCACGAGATACATTATTGACATACCGGGATATGCATTGTAGATACGTGTTGGAAATGTCAGGAAGTATGTCCAAATTATTTTTAGATTTAACACAATTGAAAAGGTCGTGTCACATTACCGACGCATAGGGAGATAAAAATTGCCCACACGTCGAGAGATACATTGTTGACACGATGAAATTAACAAGAAATTTTCTTTACAATATAAATATATACATAAAAAAAACAGAAAGAAAAGAATCATCATGTTGGATACATGTCAGGTATTTCAAAAATTGTGTGCTAGCGTGTCGGAGCTGTGTCCAACACTAGTGACCGTGTTGGTGCTTCCTAGACTTGTACAAAATAAATATGTTCTTCGTTAAGCCAGTTCTTTTGCATCTGCAAAGGTTTGAAAGTCACGCGGCATTCAAATTGAAGTTATAGAAGAAAATACAAACATGTTTAATTGTAATACGGCAAAAGCAGCTCACTAAAACCAACTCTGTTAGTATTCTCATGACTGCTTCTGTTATAGGAAATGAAAGAAAAAAATCACCAAGTCCTTCATAAGAAAAAGCAGATTTCTATAGTCACTTGCCAAAATCAATAGGAACCTAAGATTAGAATCATTTTCTCTTTGACTAGAAAAGAAAAACAATGGGCAAAAAGGCAGCTGCCAAATGGCTTAAGTAATATAGGCACGAATGCAACAAACATAAGGAGAGACCAGTTTGAAGATTCCAAAGGTTCTGGTGCTGCACCCTCGTGTTGTGACACTTAGACCAGACAATTATTCCTCAGTTCCTCAAATTGCTAGCACTAATACATGCCTAAATTGTTCTTTTCCAACTCGTGAAAAATTAAAGAATCTTACACACATTACCTAAATCATAAACATGGCCACGATGCAATAACGTCAAATGAATTAAATAGAAAAATTGAAAAGAAAAACTATTACCTTTGTGCTTCAATGATTGGAAGACGAACCACAATAAGCTCGCAGAATAGCTCAATTATCTCTTGAGCGGCCATCGTATTCTCTTCTCTTATTATATGCTCTACCTAACAAAGTAAAACATGAAAAACTCATTAGTTCATTACCAATTACAACACCCTAAAGGCGTCAAAGGGCAATCACATCACCATTTAATCACTCCTCAACGGCCAAATTCAACTCTCCCACAAATAATATGTACATGAACATCATTCACAATTTATCAAACAAAAGAATGGATTAGTATCAACACCCGAATCCTAGCAGTGGCTTCTTGACCACTCTCAAGGAGTTTGGCTATTTCTCGACGCATCTGCCGTATCTGAACCTCTCTTCGGTTCCTCAGTAACTTTATCCGCGGAATTGCAAGTCTCAGCAGAGTCTTACTGCAAATATGCACACACAAAACCACAATCAGAGTATATATTCATAATCACTCATAAACCCACCTTTGCCTGCACAAGTCACTCTCACTACCCAATTAATTATCACCAAAATTTTAGTAAAAAAAATTGTACATCAATGGAAATCTAAAGCTAATTTAATGTGATCGTGTTAAAGTTGGGCATCAAAACTATTAATTTCCTTGATTTTTTAATCATCTGAAAGAATCAATTCTTGACAGCATTTTCTACAATTTCTTAAGAGCAAAAAGGAGGGAAATTTAAGCTCACCATTTGGCCGCTTTGAAGCCTTTGTTAAAGAAGGAATCGAGCATTGACATGGCAAAAAATACCTCAAATTACACACCGCAAAATTGCAATTATTTTGTCGAAATGCCGATGTTATTGGACGCATCTGGGTTTTTCGTGATAGATATACATATATACACCTGCTTACGTGGGTGGGACGCGTATGAGTTTCCTTACTTCCTAAGAATCTTGAATTTCTTCGAATTTCAAACTATTGGATTTGGGTTTTTATAAAATAATTTTATTATCCGCTTGCTTGTGGGATATTAAAATCGGATTAAAATTGAAAAATTAATTATTATTATTGATTTTTATTAAACGAACGAGACTCAATAACGACTATATTTTCAATTTTAAAAAAGCTTAAGAGTTTTGCTACGGATACAGGAATTCAAGTACCCGTGCATGATAGAAACAATAGAGGGTGGGTGGGTAGAAAAATCAATTTTTTAATCACATGGGGTCCACCCCCATATGAGTAAAATTCAAACTTCTGGGAAAAATTCTATAGAAAAAATCTATACTCACGACATTTTTGAATTTTTTAAGTAGTTCAAAACTTTTTTTTCTACCGTATATTTTTCAAAAAAATATTATTTCAAAACCTATTTTCCAATAAAAATGGAGCTCAGACTGGTTAACAGTTAAATGTTCAAATTAAGTATATTTACTATCCGTTTGGCTAGAATTAAAATCAGATTTTTAATATATTTTAATAAAAACTAATGAAATGTGTGATTGAAAAGTTATGAGATCCATAAAATATGTAATTGAATGAATTATCGACTTCAGGGACTTAAATTAAAATATAAATTTTAATCAGTACCAAACATGGGCTAAATGTAAAATTGCTGACATGAAACTTTGATTCGAAATGTGTCACGTCGTTCGGATTAGGATGATCCAACCATGTCAAGTGTTGACCCCTGAAAATGTTGCCAACAGATGCCGGGTCCACTCGTGCACGCGCAAGCTTGATCCAACAGCTAATGCGATCAACGGTCAAGATGGTTCCAGGAAAGGGGCGTGGGAGTAGCTAAAAGGCACGAGACGTTTTCGTTCAGTTCTCCTAGCTTTACAAAAAAATAAATGCTCTTACATTGATAAGATAAGAGACAAATAAAGTTTACATAAAAGTCATGTCAATCATTCACCAAAGATCTCCATCATAAGCGGATATTCATACGTGGGCCTTCAATGGTTGGGAAGGAGCCTCGGACGGTGTATGCTAACCGAACCGTGGCTTATTGTTAGCAGCAGTAGCCTCGGAATGATAGGCCCTACGTCTGAAGCTGGGAAAATATGTCCCGATTTGATTAAGCTGGTCCCACCACTAAAATGCAGTGTCACGTGTCGCTTCCATCTACTGACCTGTAACATCAAGCTTAATTTTTAAAGATTCGTGTAAACTCCCATTAGAATAAATAACTTATGCTTGAAAAATGTTAAAATCGTTAGTTTGCATTGATATCTCTAAGCCAGTAACTCGAATGGATGTGGTTCATTGGACATCTACTATAAACTTGAAGATATGAAATTCAACTATTGAGAAAATAGTTGATACTCATTTGTACACATCGAAATATTCTTTTCAGTTTTATGTTGGGTTCAATCAAACGAGTTTATTCAAATTTAAGTTAAAGTTAAAAATTAATTTTAATCATATATCTTATAAAATTCATAATTCTTCAATCATTCATCTCATAAAATTTTATTAAAATCAACTAAAAATTTGATCGCATAATACATATAAAAAATTAAAATAGATACTAAGGCTCTGTTTGGCACACATTATTTTTTTCATTCACATTCTTTTACTCATTTTCAACCACACATTTTTCAATAAAATAATATTTTCCATCACATCAATAATTTTTCTTTCTTTTTCAACCACACGTTCTCCATCAATCTATTATTCCAAAATATATTTTTCCAAAATAATGTGGCTCATTCTTCTACTCATTTTCAACCACACATTCTTCAATAAAATAATATTTTCCATCACATCAATAACTTTTCCTTCATTTTTAACCACACATTCTCCATCAATCTACTATTCAATAATACATTCTTTCAAAAGAATGTGTCACAAACACACTCTAAATAATATTGAATTAAATTTAACAATGTGCGGTTCTACCTAATGTGAAAAGGAACTTGCTACGTGTATATTATGATTTATATAATGGATTACATAATATCACATAATACTACATTATTTGTCAGTCTAAAACACAATCGAGTTTTCATCTAATCTTGTCTCTCCACATCATATTATGTAATACACTATGTACATTTTTTTATGTACAAGTAGCTAAATCCTAAAATAAAATTCAATTGGCTCATAAATGTTGAATTTTTCCCCTATCTAATTCGTATATGTGATTGAAAATAAGTTTTGGAAAACATGGGTCACGTGAGACTCTCCATTTCTTTATCTTTAGACATAAACATTGCATAGGATTTTGTCTGTGAAGTCAAAATCTTGAAAAAGCTGTCTCCACTGTTAGAAAGAGTACAATACGTGCAGTTATGCTACAACGGTAATGTCCTGTACCAATAATTATGGAGTTAAACTTGAGGTCCCAAGAATTTGATGACAAGATCTTCTTCCCTGTCGGAGAAAACATCCAAAAATGGCCATCTTTAACTGTTTGTCTGGCACTTTCTTTTCTTTTTCTTTCGTTTTTTTTTTACCTGAAATAAGCTCTTAAATTCAAGAATTTTAAAGCCAATTGCTTTTAATGAAAGAATGCCCATAATTTTGTTTTCAAGACTCAAGTATTTAGCTAATTTTGAGGTACGTTTAATATATATTTTTTATTCTTTGATCGAAGTTTTGAATTTTATTTTCTTTCTGTTCTGAAAATCAAATTGCGCTCTTCTGATTGTTCATGTTCATGTTTGTTTTCGGTGTTTATATAATTCGGAATTTATTTCTGCTACTCTATTATACCATTTTCATGGGGTGTTTTTGGTTCTTCTGTAGATCATAAATGGTTCTTCAGAATTTGATTATTTTCTATTATATATTAGATAATTGATTCACAGTGTTATAGAATCAGTCTTATTTTGTACCATTGTCGAGATTTAGATTTAGGTTTTTGTTCCTTGTAATTGAGAGGATAAAAGTACTTAATTTGGCTGCACAGTTAAAAAACTTCTTCTTTTCTTTAATTCTTCTGTTGTATCTGCAATTTGGTAGCTTCCAGCAAATGAGCTGTGAATAAATTCGAAGCAACTTGTATGTGGGCACGACGAGAAATAATAGTAGATTGTGTGGAACAGTGGAAGTGAATTTCCTGAAGTATCATCTAGCTAATTGTGCTGCATCAGTGTAAGTTATTTGTACAAGTGATTCCATATAAATCTTTCAGATATTTAACATGAATAGTACAATATCTCATTTAAACAGGTTGTACGACCATTGTGTTTGATGAGTTTGATCGTGATATCATCGGTAGGCTGGTAAAACAGTTGACAATCAGAATGAGGCCTGAGCAATACATGGTAGATAAAAAGAGCAAGTGTTGTTGACATAGATCTATATAGGAAAGATGGCAGCTTTGTACTTCCATTTTGAGATAACTTACTGCAAGCTTAGTTTAACAAAAGATACGATTTTTCATGATATTCTAATCATATGAGGTAATTTGGAAGCAGAGTAATAATAAAGAATAATATTATTCATTGTCAACGACTGCAGTAGTCATTCTATGTGTCGGCTTATTATTTATGACATAATGCTTCAAATAACAAGCTGTCACATAGGATGACTATTGCAATCGTTGAATATGAATATCATTACTCAATAATAAATGTTTATTTAACTATTTTTTGCTCGTGAACATGTCAGCAGTCGAAAAACAAAGCTTCTGTCTAAAGACCATGCTTATCATTTTCACATCATTGTCATTATTAGACAATTATATGTAATTAGGTTCATATCATTTATCGCATCATTCTCATTGAGAAAAAAAGAAACGGTATTGTAGTCATGAAGAATATATTTGAATTTTAAAGTCTTCAATATTTTTTATTGTGTGGTTCAATAGATGCTTTTTTTTTTTACAAGTGGAAACAACAATCCTTTAACCAATCAGAGAACTAGTTCAGTAGATGCCATTTTACACATCAATAGCTGATGCAGTGTTCGCGTATTTATTTCAGGTAGAAGCTTGATGAAAAGTTGATTATCTGGTACCGTTTAAGACCTGGATTTTGAGTTATACAACCATGGATAAAGCATCCTCTGACTGTCCATATCCAAGATGCTTCTTTTGTGTCATGAAGGAAGTAAACCCGAGCAAGCGTAGAGCAAGCATACTAAAGTTCTTCAGAGAATTTCCTTCACAGGATGATGATGGTCAGGTTCTTCCTATTAGTGGCCTTTGGAATACTGCTATGGCACATCCTAATGATCCCGAGTTTATCGAATTAGGAATATTTGAATGCATGGTGGCACTCATCTGGAAGGGATTAAAGAACCGACGTTGGCTATCACAAGACCAAAATATATATATCCCTTACTATGCAGCGCATATAATTGGATCTTATACTATGAATATGGAAGAATTTGCAGAAACAGCGGTGAATGCCGGGGTTATCCCGGCCTTGGTCGAACTTTTAAGAGGAAGGTTAACTTGGGTCGAACAGAGAGTGGCCGTACGAGCATTAGGACACTTGGCAACGTACGCCAGCACTTTTCCAGCTGTTGCAAGTATTGGTGAGATTTTAGTGCTCTCGATGCAGCTGGCAACGAGTTCACTCGAAATTGTTTACACACGCTTTTACCAATATGTCGACCAGAGGCTGAGTTATCATTGTGATCTTCTTACGCGTGGAATGGGTGGCATTGAAATGGAGTCACGGAAGGCGGAAGAATGGGCCAGTCAGCTGCAGTGCTGGTCCCTTCAACTCATAAATTGCTTCGCTTTCAAATCTGAATTTCTTCCCACTATTTGCAAACCGGACTTCTTAGAAAAACTTCCAGGTATGTGGGGGGGACTTGTTAATGAAAACTCACCAGCTGGTATTGGGCTGTTACGGACGATTTGCTCTCATAAGCATGGTAGGGGACCGGCCGCTAGCTGTCCTGTCATTTTAGACGCATTGTGTAACATAGCACGATCATCAGATGACTGGCAATATATGGCTATTGACTGTCTTCTATGGTTGCTCCAAGATCCAAGTACTTGTCATAAGGTAATTTCTTTAGATTTACTCACAGTTTCTTTAAAACCACATTAATCAATGCAATTTGAATTCCACTAATACTGGATAACTGTTATGAAATGAACTGAAACTTTTTGAGATGTCTGGAGTTTCCTTCTGTAGTTTCTGAAATTCCAAACACCTTTACCTATTCTGATATTTACACTAAATATACAGGTGATTGATAAAGCCATACCTGCACTAGTCGACCTTGCAGAAATTTCTACACTAGGGGATCACAAGAAACTTGGTGATTCAATTGTTAACGTTCTTCAGGAATGTATTCAATCACAAGGAACAGGCCGCAACTCAATCAGTATCCGTGCAAAAGGGGAGGTCGAGGAACTTCTAACCTCTCGACAAAGATTTAAATGGGAAAAGAATATGCTGAAGGAGGATCTTCATATCAAACAGGCAGCTGCTTTAGTGGTCAAACTCGAAGGAAATTCCTTGTTCTCTTCTGGGGATATTTCTGGTGCTGCGTCGAAGTACTCAGAAGCATTGTCTTTGTGCCCAATGAGGTCAAAGAAAGAAAGAGTCGTGCTTTATAGTAATCGAGCTCAGTGTCATCTTTTGCTGCAAAAGCCCTGGGGTGCTATAAGTGATGCTACACGTGCACTCTGTATTCATAACCCGGTTAATCGCCACGCGAAAAGCCTTTGGAGACGAGCTCAAGCCTATGACATGCTTGGATTAGCTAAGGAGAGTTTGTTAGACGCTATACTGTTCATAAACGAATGTTCCCAGTCAACAGATCCAGATCTGTCCTCAAAGCAAAGTAAGGTTCCTGATTATGCGGAGCGTTTGGTTAAGAAACAGATGCGTGCGGCTTGGTTATTTAAAGAGGTTGCCACTAAACTCGGGGATGTACACTGTGAAGGGGATGCTGGAGATAATTGTGGCCAAGATACTGATGACTCTGAGTGGGAAACAGCAAGTGAAAGTGATGTTGGAAATGATGGAAGGGATGGATTGGATGACGATGATTCTGAATGAAAAGATGACTTTGAGAGGAAAGATTAGCATGGCAAGCTTCGACAAAAGGTACCATGCTACAATATTTCTGGATAGATTCATATGAAATATCTACAATCGGATGTGACAAATATTTTAAGAGGTCTAATTTAGACCTACGAAAATTTGTGGGTCTTAAAATTCTGGTTTATAATGGGAAACTGCTGATAAGTCTAAGGTTAATTTACTGAATTATTTCTTGATTTTTTGGTTCATCTACAGATTTTCTTTATTGTACGTAGGCATATAGGGTGAGAAAGCGCCTTCCGCACCTGAAATTTTAAAAAATAAAATTGTAAATTGTTACAGATTTGTCCTTCAAACATTATATTTAGCCCCTAATGTCTTTTCTCTTTATCAAAATGCACGCTGCCTTCCTGAACTGGAATTAACGTGTCAATTTATTATCATAAAGCAGTATACATATTGTTTTAGGTGCCAAAGATCTCTAGATCTCTGTTGTGAAAATATATGTTCTAATAAATGTAGTTACTGTTATTCTCTGCCTATGTAAACATTTGAAATCTGGTTCTTTAATCTGTTTGTGATACTCTGCTATATAAGTCTAACAAGGTTTGATATTTAAAAAAAAAATTCTGCTTTTTTTTTTCCTCTACTATGTTCATAATACTTCTCAAAGCACGGGGTTTCTTTCGACTCAGACTTTAAAATGACACAGATATGAAGCATCGATACAATGTGCAACTCACTGAGGACTACTGACTACGACTGATGTTCTTTCAAGAGCCTGCATTCATGCTTAAGCATTCTCGAAACATGATTTGGTGCTCTATCCGTAAGGACTGGTGAAAGGTTGCCATCTTTGCTGTTTTCGGGCTAAAAACACGCGTGGGTTCGTGTTTTCAGTGCTGAAGACAGATTAGGTTTTGCTGTTTATTTCTAGCTTTATTCTTTTGTACCATTCATGATTTTCTTTTTCCTTTCTGTATGTATAAACTTGTGAAATTTTGATTGGAGAATAAATTTTGCTGGACTGCTCATTTATTCTCGACAAACTGATCTTCTCACATGGAATTCAAACGCTTGTGTTTTTATGCATTTCTGGGTTTCCTTTGTTTTTTTTCTTTTTTTGATTGTTTGCAATTTCCCTGACACCTTAGAGCATACGCAATCTCTGAAATCACTATAAAATAGAAGAGGCAAAACATTGGCACGCCACGTGTCACGATTTTCTATCGTCGTCAAAATTCAATTTTTTTTTTTCACTTCACGCAACATTTCTCCATTTTCACACGCAACTGCACCATCCCAACTGCCATACTTTCTGTCATTTCTTCACCCTTCTTTTTCCTGTCCCAAATTTCATGCCCCAACACCTTTTAATTCCTCCAACCATCATCGAGATTTGAGTTCCCGAAACCCTAGCAATACTACCGCCAAGAATCGCACGAAAATGAACGCCGATGCAGATCCTTTCTCGTTGACCCTATATTGATTTCTTCCCTTCTACCTCTTTCTTTGTGTTATAAGCATTCGTTTATATTAATTCTTGTCAATTACATATTGTTTTGACATACTGATTGGATGCGATATATTCTTCAGTTAAGGAAATGATTTGAAGAAGGAAGCAGCACATACAGTTAGACAGTCTCCTTGAGGTTTCATTCAATTTGGTTTTACCTATTTCTTTGTATCATTATATTATTCCTATAATTCTTTTTCTTATGGGTTTTTTTTATTATGTTTATTGATTCTTGTTGCTTCATATTTTCCATTTTCTTTAAATTGGCACTTTCTTGATGGTATTGTCATTTGGGAAGAATTTCGGTTGAGCCTTGTTTGTTCATGAGATTTCATCAAATAAGGAAACTATATGATTTTGGCCGATTTGTTCTATCAGCAAATTGTGATGCAATTTGTGGTTAGGGAGCCCAAAGATGATTATATAGAATCAGAACTTGTAGAAATTTTTTGTGTTGGCGATACTTGACAAGTTCTATGCGAGTCAATGGTTGTGTGATAACAAGAGTATTAATCATGATAAAATGTTGGCTAGAAAAAATAAAAACAAAAAAAATCAGGCACACGTCTCAATGCCACATGGTGTCCCGTGAAATCAAAAAACAAAAAAATGTGAGACACGACTCATATTTCCATGCACCACGGAGACACGAGACCTATCTCCGTGCGCGCAAAAAGATGGAGACCCATGTCTCCGTGCACCACGAAGTGTCTCCATCGCTACGGAGACACGAGATCCGTGTCTCCGTGCGCACGGAGACATGGTGCCATGTCTCCGTAACACACAGAGACATGGTGTCTCCATGGTGCGCGGAGACACTCCCCACGAAGGGCGCTGCCCCCGCGACCTGACCGGGCAGGTCGATCCTCGTGCGGGCAACCCTACGAGGGGCGCTACCCTTCGACCCCTGTCACACGATGAATATCTTTCATGATTACGAATGAATTTCTCTAAATTTTATATATATTTATTTTCAACATTAAACAACTAAATCGAAAAAGAAATTGAAACTAAAGAATACTATGTATCAAACACACATACAGTGATAAATTTCAAAAGGAAACTAAAATTTAATTTCTCAGGACATTCCGGTTGTTCACATACATTCAAAGACCCCGAAGATAATGATTATCCACGTGGAATCTCTAGGCTAATTAATTTAAACCTCTTCCAAAAAATTTCCAAGTTCATTGTTTAGACAAATGCAATTCATACACTAAATTCTTTTGAAATTCATGAATAAAATACAAGATTTCTGAAATATATATTTATGGGGTAGAATGAATCAAATAAAACCTCAAAAGTTATAGTAGTGATATAACAATTTGTACTGGGATGAAAGCAGACAGTTGAGAAATTGGCTTCATGGACAAACAATGGAACTAGATCAGCTTTCGCCACAAGGAGTTTTTGGAAGCCGATAGGCTTTTCACCTTCGGAAAAACAAAACCCGCCTTGGGAGGATTCCCATCAACAAGAGAGTTTTCATATATTTCTTTGCACTCCTGAACAACCTGTTTGACAAAGAAAATTGCACATCAAGGATGGGCATAGTAAATCTCAAGCTTCTTATCTTAAAGCAAACATCATAAAACTAACTAATGGCATTTATGGTATTATACCGGGCCAATCAATAAATTGTCCAGTTGATAGTCTTTCCTATTGACAACAAATCAAGTTTTTCGTGCTCAACCTCGATTAACTTACTCACTTGTGTAATTAGTATAATTGAACTATCCAATTTGCTTTCATTGACCAGTGACTAGAATACATCGTTCCTAAGTTTATGTATATAGAAGGCCTAGTATCCACGGAAGCATTTCAATTTCAGGGGACCAGAAAAGATAATCCATGAAACAAAGTTGGCTCCGACTTCTTATATAGAAACTCATTTCTCGTTACCTCTTTAGCATCTTTCCTTGGTATACCTTCTCGTAAGCTGACAAGTTTTTCAACCACTTCTGGCTGCATCCACAAAAGAACAAAGGTTAATAGGAAATAAAGAGAAGTAGATTCTCTTTCCTGTTCAGTTCTTGAAGAGGAAAAAGTGACTCAAAAATGTATTACTAATGCTTGCTTCTCTTTGGATACAGAAATAATCAGCTTTAGCTGACTCACTAGTGAGACAGATATGCTACAAAAACATAATATTGCTCAATAACACTTACAGGACAGTCCGGTTGATGTTCGAGTATATTTGTGTAAACAAGTGTGAAAGAATCTGGACTCTCTGACGAAGCAAGTTCTCTCAAGTCAGAGAGTACCCTGACTCTATTTTCAACTTTCTGCATAATACATGGTAAAGCATTTAATTATAAAAATCAATTATATAAAAATAGATGCAATAATATTGACAGCTATGACCATTAGAGGTAAAAATTTAACGACAGTTTCGGTTAAAGTAGAAATTTAAGGGTACAACGAGGTAGAATAAAATATATGGACAAGTCAGTATTGATTGGTTTCTACACAATCTTTATGTAAGAAACTTAATTTAGAGCCCTATTTATCTCTCTTTTTTATAATCTCTTCCTGTATTATGTTGGTATAGCAACTGAGGGGGCAAGCGCAACTTATCCAATAGCATATTCACTAATATTTCAAATATCACAAGCACAGGAAGACGGATATATTTCAAAAATACCACGATAAAAGAATCTTACAAGGTTCAGGATCCAACAAAATTTTAGTCATTCTTTCGTTTCCAGGGTTCGGGGTTTGTTTAGGTAAGGAGGAGGGGAATTCCTGGGCTCCAGCATGGATGATTTGAATTCTAGAGGAAGTGTGGTGAAGCTTACATGAACACTAATATATTCCCGGAAGAAATCCATGAGAACCTCTTCAGCTAGCTTCATTCTTTCAATCGTCTCTTCCTTGATATAATTTTTCTACAAGGTCATTACAAAATAATCAAAATCATATATATACGAGCTGCGCGCAAACATTGACAAGTATGTTGTCTATCAAAGATGTTCTCATGTTAGGAACCTGGACAAGTAGATGATCCACATAGACAACAACAGTTTCTTCCAAGCAGGCCTCAACGAATCGCCTGAATGATCTTTCTTCAATGTACCTTTACGTTGAGGTAGAAAAACTTCAATAAACAAGATGTGACGTTCATGTGGAAATGATGAATGGGGGCAGTTTGATTTGGAGACATTTGAAAGTATTAATCGTAGTTTACATAAACAGACTGAAATAACTTACATCTTGACATCTGAAAAATAGTCACCAAATGTTACAACAAGGTACTCAGTTACTTGCCCTTCCAACCAATCTGAGATATAAAGAACATCACGTCAATACAAAGATCTCTTCAAAATAATCTTATATACCTAAAAATATGGAAATCTGTCTACAGACTCAATTATCTGACATTTACAAGATAAACTCTCTCTCTCAATTGATAATGTTTCCCAAATTAAAGTAACTGACAAGCTCTCCGCCCAATATCTCAAGGCTCACACATAATTAAACTTACACCAGCAAATATATG